ACTCGGGAGGCAGAGGCAGGCGGATCTCTGTGAGTTTGAGGCCAGCCTGGTCTACAAGAGCTAGTTCCAGGACAGGAACCCAAAAGCTATGGAGAAACCCTGTCTTGAAAAATCAAAAAAAAAAAAAAAAAAAAGGAGGAGGTTGGAAAGAGTAGGCTTAGCCTCCACATAATGAAAAAAAATATAGAGTAATACATTCTAGTAGAAATAAGTAACTGTCTAGAAAATAGTTAAATGAGAATCATTTACAGAATGCTAATTGGAAGCCATGAGAATGAATGTCACCAACTTCTGTCCATGACTGAGTGGCCTGCCTCTGCTTCTGAGAGCCACAGACCTAGAATACGACCTTGGTGGCTAGAAGAAATACTGATGCCAGTCAAGGTGTTGTGAAAAAAAAAATCAAAAACCAGTGGAAGCAGCAATGTATTTGCTCTTCAGGGACCTGGGAACTGAAACACGGGAAGACTTAAAGATATTCCTGGGGGGCCCTCCCAGTGGGAGGTGGGAGCCTTGACTCTTGGTCTTTGCATCAGCTGCAGGCCCTGGCCCTGGCAGAAACCAACCCACTTCCCCTTCAGATTGCCCTGACTACCACTGCGAGTTTTCTAATTTTCTTCTTCTCCTTTCCTTCAGGCAACCTTAAAAAAAAATCAGCTAGGCTGGGCAGTGGTGGCACACACCTTTAATCCTAGCACTTAGGAGGCAGAGTCAGGCAGATCTCTGTGAGGTCAGGCTGGTCTACAGAGCGAGTTTCAGGATAGCTAGGACTGTTACACAAGAAACTCTGTCTTAAAAAAACATACCAAACAAAAAAATCAGCCTAGCCTTCTTGGGTTTTGTTGTTGTTGTTGCTTTGGGTTTTTTGAGACACGGTTTCTCTGTAGCTTTGGAGTTTATCCTGGAACTCACTCTGTAGACCAGGCTGGCCTTGAATTCACAGAGATCCTCCTGCCTCTTGTTACTGCTCAGCTGCCACCCAGTCCCTCCCCTGAGCTCTTGTGTCATCCATTCTGCTGTACAGTGCAAATGTGTCACGTGGAAGAGTGCTGGCTTTGAGAAGTCAGTGCAGGAGGTCGCATTTCACTTTGCCTTGTAATTAGGAGCCAAGACCTAGGGTCTGACATGAATGTGAAATCTCCAGATCATCCTTCACTGGCAAGGAAAATGCCAATTGCTGGCCTCAGGGTGAGCAAGCAAGTTGCAATGGCGACCAGTGTTGGCTAGGATAAAGTAGTGGTGGTAATGGTGGCAGTCGCATTGCTGCAGTAGTATTGGCAGGCAGCCACAAATTTCCAACATAATTGGCCAGAATTGCGCTCTCTCTCTCTCTCTCTCTCTCTCTCTCTCACACACACACACACACACACACACAATGCTAAGTCCCTGTAGTAAGAGAGAGTCTGTTTTTATACCAACTGTAAGTTGGGGGATTTCCAATGACCTAGTGCCTGTGGGAAATCTTGGCCATACTAGGCAATTAATTCATTTCAGCCATCACTGACTTAGCAACAAACTGAAGTTCTCAGAGCCAGGATAGCAAGGAGCTATCCTTAAATATATCCTTAAATATAAGGAACATTTTACATCTAAGGTCTCCTGTTAAAGGACTAAATGCTGGGCGGGAAGAAGGAGAATCGTATGAATTGTGTCTTGTGTCATGCCAACATAGATGGGGATTCAAGCTCACGAGAAGTTTTAAGACAAACTTCATGGCTGCCCAAATGCAAGCACGTGTGTGTGCGCACACACTTGTGCGTGTACACACACACACACACACATACACACACGCATGCACACGTCTTCTAGGCCTTTCTCCAGGTATAATGCTTTAGGATCTGACCATCCTGGGACTCAGAGACAAGTATCCCTCCTTTCCCAAGGATTTCTCACTCCTAAACCTGACCCTGGACTCTTGTTCTGTCCTTGCTCACACCAGTAATCCCAACAAAGGCAGGAGAATCCTGAGTTTGAAGCCAGCCTGGGCTATATAGTGAAGTCCTATTTAGATGGCAGCAAAAACAGAACCATCATATAAATTAGAGATTAAGTTTCATAAGTATCTTCCTAGCACCGCCCCCAAGTCCTGCCAGGCTGAGGCCTGGCCGCCTCACTTCCCACATACTTTCCCATCGGGGCTTTTAATGGAGATTTGTCATTTCTCCACGGAGTCTAGTTCAGTTTTATTTCAGCTCCTTTAGGCACTAGGCTGATAAAGTCGTTGACCTAGGCACAGGAAGGGAAAGAGAAAGGACATTTCTGGGCAATTCTAAAATAAATCTTTTCCCGTTTCTCCCTGACCTTTGGACAACCTCCTAAGGCTACCTACTGTGGAGGGAAGGTAGAACAGGTGACATTGTCTGGAGCCAGTTGTAGGACCTTGACTAGATTACCTTCTGGGCCGATTTACTTATTTACCAATAAATAAATGAAATGACAATAACAAATCATGGAGGTGCCTTTCAGCTGTGGTTGTCTAGGATGCTGTGGACCTGGCTCAGCTGGTTTGAAATCTGAGGTACTTTCTTGGGCCTTCTCTTGAGGTACAGCTTCTTTGAAAACTAAAGTCTAATTCTGATTCAATAGCATACCTAAGTGGTTGGACTTGGATCTGCTCCAATTTTCCAGGAGACATGAAGCATAATAATGTGTAATCCCTAAATCTAGACATCATTCCTTCAGGGCGGAGCTGGGGACACACCAGCTCAGGGAGGAACGCCTGGGGAAAACACGCCTGGGTTTTCACCCACGTTATGTGGAGGGCAGTAGGCCTGGGATTTCTAAATATGAAACTTCTGGGAACAGTGGGTGGGGGCTGGGGCAAGTAGTGGGAGGAGGCATGGACAGCTATAAACTAACTACTGACGGCAAGTATTGAGTTTAGGAGCAAACTGGACACAAACTGCTGGTGGTCTGAGACCAGAGAAAGCAACATTGGAATAGTGCAAATCCAGCTCACTGTGCACACCGGAGGCAGTCTGGTCCCCTGTCCCAGCTGTTCCTGTCCTATAGCAGCTCCCGTACAGTTTTCTTTGGCTCAGAGAAGCAGAGGCCTCCCCCGAGCCCCAGCCCCCCTCTACCGCAAAGCAACTGGCTTCCATTACCCCTGACAGCTTCGGAGTAACAGTCCAGCCCCCGGCCCTGTCTGACTCCACATCATTCCCTTTTATGGTGAAGCTGAGAGAAAGCAAGAAAGGGGAAACCCTTTTCTAGCTGAATAGAGGGCTGTAGAGATTCAGGGTGCTGCTCCCCCTCACCAGTGACCCTCGTTTGTCTGGATGTCTACTGCAGCTCTTTTTCACCACAAACCCACGACCCCTCTGGCTTGTCCCAGCCCTTCCTTTCCTACCCCCTCCTTCACATCCGGGGGGTGATTTCCCACTTGGCCGAGGTCCCACGTTTGGTTTTTGATTATGAAAGGGCCCGCCCTAATTTCGACGCCCACCTCCAGGAGTGGGATGGAGGCAGAGAGCCGGCCTGAGACCGGCACTGGTCAAGTAGTCAATGATCCGCCTGTTTGGTAGGACGTGGATTCAGAAAGATTGGCACCCGTGGGAGCACCAGCATCCTCGATCCTATCCATTCTGCATCTCTCTATCCATCCCCACCGCCGGCGAGCCTGGGAGGGGACCGGGAGGGGAGGACCCAAAGGAAGCACCTGGCTGGGTCGGGTAGGGAAGCAAAGGATGGCAGCATGCAGGAAAGTGGGTCGGAGTCTGCGGGTCAGGCCCGGCCTCCCGCCCGCCGCACCCTCGCCCTAGCCCACTCCTCGGCTCCAGGGAGGCTGCCACCACCACAGCAGCGCTAGCTAACCGCGGCTCCCGCCGCGCCAGCTGCTGCCAGCTGCGGAAATCCCAGTCCCGCCCCGCCCCCCGCAGCTGGGCGGCCTCCTCGAAGCTCCGCCCAAGGCCCGCTCGTGGCGCCGGAGCAGACGAGTCGGCGGGGTAGAGAAGCCGGAAGTTCCTTGCCGTTCCCCTGACTAGCGCTACGAAGTTCCGGCTCAGGTCTCCTACCTCGAGCTGTTCAGCGAGCAGTAGCATCGGAGCCGAGTGGAGCTGGTCAGGTGAGAGCCTCACAGGCGCCGTCTCACACGCAAGCCCGGCGGAAGCTGGACCGCGGTGGCGAGGACCGGGCCTGCTAAGGGCAAGGAGAGCGCGACCCGAGGCTCAGTCCCTCCCCTTGTTCGCAGGATGATCACGGACGTGCAGCTCGCCATCTTCGCCAACATGCTGGGCGTGTCGCTTTTCTTGCTTGTGGTTCTCTATCACTACGTGGCAGTCAACAATCCCAAGAAGCAGGAATGAAAGTAGCGCTTTCTCCGCCCCAGGTAACGGTCCGGGCAGTAGCGCCCAGGCCCCAGAGAGCTGAGTGGTGAGGCCGCGCCAGGGCCTACAGGCTTAGGAACTTGAAGTCAGAACGAGTCTAGCCAAGCTTAGACCAGAACCGGGCCCCCTTGTTTGCACTCTGTATACTGCCTTGAAACACTGCTTCTTCCCCTAAACGGCTTCCTACTACAATGAGGGTGGGCTTCCGGATCCTACTCAGGCTCCAGTTTTGAGGTTCCCAGCAGATAAAGTGCCAAGTTACAAGGAGTCGTTGACACCAAGACAAAGGCCGTAACTGTGCCACCCAAGTGTGGGATCAGGCCCCAAGCCTCACTTTCCCACGGAGCCTGAGGCAGGGTTGGGGGAGGAGCATGGTAGTGAAAGATGTAGACTTCCATGTTCTGAAACCAGGGACCTTGTTTTTATGGGTTATCTACAAACACAAACCAGAGGTCAAAAGGGAGGGGGGCAGAGTCTGGGAACCAAGTGTGTTTGAGAATGTAAGGGGAACCGGGCTAGATAGGGGTGGGCTCCTGAAGGATCTCCCGCAGGGAAAGAAAGCTGCAGCGTTTTCCTTACTTCGCGTTTTTCCCCTTTTTTCTAGGGTTCCAGGACATAGTCTGAGGCAAGATGGAGGGTGTGCGGGGCCTTCACACTTCACTGCATCCCTCCTACCCATCACAGCATACAAAGCAACTACACCTGGATTTTTCCAAACAACTTTTATTTCCTCAAAGTCTTCCTTAACTCTATGGAACAAGAAGCTGCCACTGAATAGGGCCCAGTATAGGGGCTGCTTTCTTTTCTATTCCCTCCCCCCAATACAAAAATATAGATATATATTTTTTGTGGTCCCAAAATCTTGTGCTGTGGAGGGGGGGAAGGGGTGGCAGGTCCCTGTTTTGTTCTGTCTCAAGGTGATGTTCTGCAAAGCCTCGGACGTGGTATCCTAAGGAGCTATGTTGTCACATGATACCAGCAGCTGGAAGACGGGACTAACATATCGTTCACTGTGTTCCCTCACCTTAGGTCTATGTCCTGGGCATGGAGGTAAAGGCATGGTCAGACCCTGGGAGAAATAGTGAGTGATGGAGATTTAGGGACGAAACAAACCTCACACTGGTTCAGGGGCCCCCTGCTGTAACAAATCCGGGTTGGGGAGTCAGATAGAGTACAGGAAATAGGAGAAAAGGCAGGGGCAGAGTGGGGCCGTGGGGGGCCGGCCTGAGGCAGCCTGCAACAGAGAAAAGAGAGGAAATCAGGGTTGTGGAAACAGCCCCATTTCTGGTCTGTTAGCCAGGGGCTGGGAGGTGAAGAGGGAAATGTGAAGGTGGGTAGGACTAGGCAGATTCACTACTGCACAGAAGTCTGCTATTAGAACTAGCTAGCTAGTGCCTAGGCCTTAAGGGCCTAACTACAAGTTACGCTGTGAAGTGAAGACAGGCCATGGTGGAATAAAAATCAGGGACTAAATTAATAATGAAAGTGCATTTAGTCTTTGGGATCAATGAGAAAAGGAGAAAATTATCCTGAATGTGGAAATGGGGTGAAAGAATAGTAGAAATGAAGGGTGAAGGACTGGACTCCGGTGCTCACCCTGGTGTAGCAGAGCGGGGTCCCGGCTCCAGCTCACTGCTCTCTCTGGTCTGGGGGATAGGGGATGTGGGGCTTGAAGAGCCTCTCATCCCTCTGCGAGTCGGCGGTGAGCTCCGGCCCAACCTGGGCCTAGCCTGTGTGGACAGGGGTAGTCTAAGAGGTTTTTTTTTGTTTTGTTTTGTTTTTTTTGCAGTGAGGCTTTCTGCTTCTAGAGTTTCCGTGCATAAGAATCTAGCACAGGAGTCCTGAGCACTGTTCCTAGCTGAGAGGATGAGGCGGGGTGGCAGCTAAAGAACTTCCAGATTCAGCTTATGACAACATGCCAGGTCTTACTTATCTAAGGGTGGCAAAGGGCCCAGCATTTCACCTCCATGGGTATCCCATGGTTAAGAGGTGGCTGAGTTGAGAAGCCGTATAAATAAAGATGGTAGAGGACTGGCAGACCTCCCTCAGCTTTCTGAGCCTCCGCCCCTGCCAGAGCAGCTTAAACTTCACCCATCCAGAGAAGCTTGTCTGATGGTAGGGCTGTTACTAGGAGCAGTAACCAGATGTGTTACCTGGGGAATCCGGGACCCCTCCTGGCGGAAACTCTCCTCGGGCAGGTCTGGTCAGAAAGAGAGGAGACGCTAAGGACGGGTAGGGAAAGCCAAAGCTAGCAGGCTGCGGTTGGGGCGCATCTGGCAGGGACAATGGAGTCTGAGACGAGTGAGATACCTGGCTGATTGGGACTGGGAAAGTTAACACTCAGGTACCATGCAGCTCTGATAGGCTGGTGACAGAGGCTGTAAAGCAGGACTCAGCATTTCCCTCCCAGTGCTCAGGAGAATATAGTGTCTTCCTGGGCTCTGCTAATGCTAAGGACAAGGAAAGACCCTCCCCCCAAATTTTACCTGCAAACGAGTCCTAATGCAGGGGATCCGAGCACCAGCCCCTAGAAGACTTTTCCCAATCACCATGACAGCCTCTGAGTTGTCCCCTGAAGACGAGAATGAACAGCTGCTCCCTAGAGAACAGAGGAAACTGATCATCAAGGCAGGACTAGAAGAGAAGGTAACTTCATTTACATCAGTTTCTTGACCTTGTTTTGTTTATGGTGCTGGGGATTAAAGCTAGGTTTTCATGATAAGCCAGTGCCTAACCACTGAGCTATATCCCAGCGGCCCTTCACTCAGCATCATTGAATTAGTGGTACAATCATTTGTTGTTGCAGTGATTTTTGTGCATAGTAGGATGTTTACCAACATCCCTACCTCAAATTGTGTGTGCTGTTTCCTCCCTAGATCCTTCCCTATTGTAATAGCTAGAACCCCCTTGGATGTTGTCATATGTTCTCTGGGGGGTTCTAATCTGACCCAAGAAGTGAAGCTGCCACTTTGAGTTAAAATTAAACTTTCAGGTTTAATGACTCAATTTGTAAACCTTAGAGCCCACTCCAATCAGATGTTTAGGTATTTAGGAATAAAGTCCATCTGGGCATATCGGTCATGCCTCTAATCTCCGCATTCCAGAGGCAGAACTGGAAGACCAACTGGTCTACATAATGAGTTCCAGGACAGCAGGCTACATAGACCTTGTCTCAAAGGGGGTGTGGGGGAGTCCATTATGTGCAACAACTGGACTGAGGACTAACTTGATTAGAAATTGATAGGTTGGTACAGTATATGTTGGACTCAATCATAGGAAACAACCCTGCTGGGCATGGATTGTTTCTTATAATTAATTGTTGATCTTTTAATTCTAGCACTCAGGGCAGTCAGGTAGATCTCTATGGGTTTGGGGCTAGCCTGGTCTACAAAGAGTTCCAGGACAGCCAGGACTACAAAGAGAGACCCTGTTTCAAAAGAAAAAGAAAATAATCCCATTTACTTCTTTATACCGCTGGGTCTCTAACTTAAAATACAAGTAGGTGCCTTTTAAGTTTAGTTAGAGTATAGGATGCCATTTATAACCATAGGTGAAAAGCCTGTGTTGTTTCAAATGTTCCAATTTTATCCTCACTCTTAGCTCTTGGAGTTAGGGAACTTGATTAAATAGCACTTTGCAGGTAGAAAGTCCTCACATTCTTGAGCTACAAGCGAGGACTAGATAGTATAGAGCAGTTCCTGCACAGAGTGAACGTTCAATAAATGTTAACTATTACTTTATTTTACAAATTCATTTCATTGAATTCCACCCTCCCATACAAAGGCACGTGTGTTAGGAGTGTGAGATACCAGAATAACTCACACCTGCTCTGAAGTGGCCTGTATACATCAGGTCAAGAAAGGAAGTCCAGGTTAGGTAGCAGTACAGCTGAAGGGTTTCTTCTTGAAGCTTAGTTGGTAGCCTGTCTAAGCCCTGGGTGGTACAGAAGACAAGAAGCTGGGCAACTCGGATTTCAGGGGCAGTGGGTACAGACCTGATAAGCTGAGTGAATTGGGCAGTAGACAGGAGCCCAGATTTCGTGAGGAGGCTGGGCCAGAATTAGCAAGAGTTGGGGATGGGGCCAGGCTGCTTGTGGTAGGACGATGGTTCAGTGGCTGCTGCCGCCGTCTTCTGTCTGGGCATCGGGGCTCTGAGTGGAAAGGGCACAGCCAGTAAAGATAAAATTAGTGAGACACCATATGATGGGCTTCACTGACTTGCTGGCTTCCCCTGGCCAGGCATAGTCAGAAGATGCCTGTTTTCAAGTTTGCCAACAAAGCAGTCACCTGCCCTGTTCTGGAGCAACTGAGATGAAAGACATCTAATATTGACTCCAGACATCTAAATCTCAGCCAGCTCTCATCCTACCAGTTTGTTGTTAAAAGTTACAGATTCTAGAACATGGCCTTACTAGACTTTTCCCTCACCTCTAACTGCTCCTTTTCTCACTGAGGACCAATGTTCCAGCCATCTGGCCTTCCTCTTTTCTTAAGTCCTGTAATCTCTAAGGCCCTTTTCTTCTTAAGTCTCTGATTGCCAAACCAAATCCTACTGCCTTTTCCCCACTCCTTTGCTGTCTGCTAGGAAGCTCACTTCATTTTTCACTTCATTTTCTCCCTTGCATTTCCATTTGTTTAGTCAAATCCTGATGGTTCGACACTTGCATCTTATCCATGCAGTTGCCAGGGTATAAATGGATATTTTCACTCTCCATCCTCTCCCTTGGTTTGATTTAAAAAAAAAAAAAATCATACTTTTACATAGGTGCCACCAAGTTATCCTAAAATAGAAACTTTTTTTTTAAAATTATAATTCACTGAGGCTTGGGTAAGGGAGAAACAGTTTATCTGCAGACAGATTCTCACTGTGTAGCTCAGACTGTCTTCACTGTATAATCTAAGCTAGACCTGAACTTTTGGTCTTGCCACACCCTGCCAAACGCTTGGACTGTATGCATTCACCACACCACTACATGTAGCTAAATTCTGAAGGTCTTTTAAAGATAAAGTCCATTCTAAACCCTTATATTGAGGGTCCTGTGCTGTGTTTCTTGGCTACCTATCATTAGGATGCTAGCTTCATTGCTCATACCTCAGCCATGGTTGCTACTAGCTTTGAAATTTCTGTTTTTCTTTAGGCAGTACTTTGAGTCTCTTCCATGTTCCATCTCAAATGTGAGCTCCCTGTAAATGTTACCTTGGCCATTTACAGGCAAAATTAGTTCCCTTTTTCACATGGCTAGTATAGTTGTTTATAGATCAGTCACCTCTTAAAGTTTATGGGCATACTTAACTTCTAGGGGTAGTACTCCGACATACTCCTTTGGCCTGAACTTGTCTACTACAGGTTCTGAAGGGTGTGGCACCAGAGACAGATGGTAGGTGAATGGGACAGGGGACTTAGAGTACAGGTTCAGTAGCTTTTAGCAGGTGCCAGGTGCTCTTGAATTGTCATAGAAACAAAACACTGGTGTCAGTATCCTAGGTGTCTTAATATAAATACAGGTATGAGGTGTCTATACTGGGTTTTAGCAGGCTGTGCCACTGTTACATACGTAACAGTGCAAACCTGTAATCCCAGCATGCAGAAGGTTGTGACAGGCAGGGTGACTACAAGTTCCAGGCCAGCATGTGCTTCATAATGAGGCCCTGTTTCAAAGACTATTTTGATCGATCTTAGGATGGAAGCCCTTCTTGCTATGTGTCCCTGCACTGGATAGCAATTAAAGTCTAAATTAGATTTGTAAGAGTACAAAACAACCAGACCTTAGGGGGCTAGTGAGAGCAGAAATGCTGGTAAGAACAGGAGTCGGAGAGACTTGTGGCCACATCAGCCTGTAACATTAGTCACCCTCAGTGACTTGTGGTACTCAAGTGTATAGACCTGGTGGTTTGGATTGAAGATGTGAGTACTGAAATTGTCTTTTAGGGCAGAATGTGTACCTTCAACCCCATAGGTGGGCAGAGCTCTCAAGTGAAGCCAGCCTTATCTATCTACACAGCAAGTTTTAGACAAGCCAGGATTATACAGTGAGACCTTGTCATACAAATGGAGGCATGTTCCTCAGCACAGTAGGCAGAAATGGGGTGTGTAGATCAGAAATCATGTCTACATACAGGCAAGCTAAAATCCTGTGACAGCACGATCCTTCACCTTACCCTCAAGTAATGAAGAAGCAAGAAAGTGGTTAAGAGTATGGGAACACACACCTATAATCCCAGCACTCTGGAGTGGAGGCAGGAGGCCAGTTGTCTACAAAGTGAGTTTGAACCCAACCTGCACTAAATGAACTTCTGTCAAATTAAAAAAAAAAAAAAAAAAAAAAAAGACAAAGCCGGGTGGTGGTGGCACACGCCTTTATTCCCAGCACACGGGAGGCAGAGGCAGGTGAATCTCTGTGAGTTCGAGGCCAGCCTAGTCTACAAGAGGGCAAGCCCCAAAACTACAGAGAAACCCTGTTCTGTCTTGAAAAACCAAAAAAAAAAAAAAAAAAAAGACAAACCTTTGGGACACATATAGGTTCTAGTAATAGAGTGCTGAGTGTCACTCTGGAAATAATGAAGCAAATCAGATAAAAAGATTGAAAAAAAAAAGGCAACACAAAATGGGAGACTAGAACCTAAGAAAGAAAGCAAGGCTTAAAGCTCAGGAGTCTTATCCCTAATCAGGTTTTGAAAAAAAAAAAAAAAAAGGCAAGGTCTGGTGAGTCTGGAAAATATAAAGTATTAAAGACAAGTATTTCAATAAATTACTTTAAGACTGCCTTAACACCTTCCTGTAATTTGTCAATGGAAACACAGCTGGCTCACTTTGAAAGGGGAGGGGGTATTTCGAGACAGGTCTCTCTTTAACAGCCCTAGCTGTCCTGGAACTCTGTAGACCAGGCTGGCCTTGAACTCAGATTCGCCTGCCTCTGTCTCCTAAATACTGGGATTAAAGGCATGAACCATCACCCGGTTCTAACTCACTTTGTGTTTTGACTTTTGACTCCTCTTAATCCAGGTCTTACCCTATTTCTGTTAAGAGGATAAAAGGAGCCCCAATTCTGTATTTAGTTTTGAGTTACAGTCAACAGTGTAATGCCCATTGCAGAGTACTGTGATCAGCCCTGCTTCCACAGGTGGTAAAACGGTATTTTATGGTAACAAGCTGGGACTGGCAGGATAGGGCAGCCGCGCTAAGTTGAGCCAGGATGCACATTCTTAAGGTGTCATAGTTGGAAATATTAAGTCTGTTGCTTTATACCTAGAGTCTACATCATCTCTCCAAACATCTTTGGGACATCTCCCAATTTAGTACCCTAGATATTATAGGGTTCTTACACAGCTGGTTCTTACAACCCTATGAAAATTAGAAAGATTAGATTAAGCATTAATTTAACTCCCAGCTAAACTTTTCCTTCATCACATAGTAAGCATTTGCTGAATACTGAAGTGCTAGGCATAGTGCTAGGTCCTAGTGTTGGTGGATTTCCTGATACTGATCAAAGTGGCAATGGTGATAGAGACAGCAAGTCCTATTGACTCACCCCAGAGGAACTGACTGCCACTGAGAGCTGACCATTAGCTACTCTACCAAAAGTTGCCTGTTAGCTGAGCCAAGGCACTGACTAGGCCAGGCAAGAGTTCTAGTAATAGCAGGTTCAAGTGACGGAACTGGGAGTCAGATGAGAGGTGCTGGTGAGAGGGCGACAGTTAAAGGCTCCTGCCTCACCTTTCACAACATTTGGCTGGATAGATAGGCTGAAGGGGCAAGACTAGAATCATGCAAGTGAGAAACCTTGGATGCAAAACTGAAAGGGGCAACTGCATGATTATGGAATTTTGTGTCCTGGGTGCATCACCTGCTCTGTATAATGTTACCCTGGCCCCTTTAGCTCTTGCAGTTTTTTCTTTTCTTTTCTTTTCTTTTTTTTTTTTTTTGTAGTTTTGGAGCCTGTCTTGAAAATTGCTCTGTAGACCAGGCTAGCCTCTAACTCACAGAGATCTACCTGCCTCTGCCTCCCAAGTTCTGGGAGTGCACCATCACTGCCTGGCAACTTTTGCAGTTTCTTGCATGCCTTTGCCTTTTCTCACTTCACTGTATTGCTCTCTAGTGCCCTCTTTCCCTACAGTCACAGCAGATAGTCTTGTTGGTGTCTGTGAGATGGTAGATTATAGCTGTGCTACAGGTCTGGGAAGGTAGGAGGAGCACCGTTTGTAGCTGGGAGCCAGGTAGATTCTGGCCCTAAGGTCAGGCACGGGAATTAAGACCGACTCAGAACTGTGTGGCCTCCGGTCTGAAGTTGGCCTTCATGGGCCTTCTATATCACCGTCTCCCAGCTTGAAATGGAGCCTTTCAGACCAGTTCCCTGTCTGCCTTAAGCTGCTGGCTGAGCTGCCCAGATCTTTACCCTGAGAAAACTCCCTGGAACCCCCAATATCATGTTTGTTCTAGTCAATAAAACCAATAAAATGTATAGTTAAATATATATAGTAATTGATTTTTTTTTTTATGGGGAGTGGGTGGGTAGAGCCTTAAACTCATTCTGTAGCCAAGGGATGACCTTTTCTTTATCTTCCAAGTGCTGGGATTACAGGCATGTACTGCCACACTTGACATAGAAATTTTATAAATTCACAAATCAAAACAACAAAATTATCAAACCACAGTTCAAATTTTGGGAAAGTATAGCTCATTTACAGTTAAAATTTCTGTGTTCTGGGGGGTCATGTTTTCTTTTTCTAGCTTTGAAAACAACAGGCAAGCCAGGATGGCCGAGTTCAGTGTCCAAGACCCACATGGTAGAGAGGGAAGGAGAACTCCCATCAGTTGTTCTCTCACCGCCACTGGGGGCCGTGGCATGTGCCCTTGCCCACAGACAACATACACTCACACGCAATAAATAAATGCAAATAAACAAAGCATATAGCTTGCTGTGGTAGAGGCCAGAGAGCCAGAGACGTGAAAACAAATGTCACACTGTAACCTTGCAGGACAGATCACCCTAGACAAGTAAGTTTTCTCAAGAGTTGATTGAAAACGCCATGTCCAGATGTTAGTCTGCATTGCAGCCCTATCTAAAATCAGAACCAGCCTCCCTTCCTGAGGGCCTTCAAAGAACAATGCCAGCAAATGCCCAGCAGAACACTTTTAAGATTCCTACTTTTTAACTTTTAACTCCCTACACTATTTTGATAGTAACTTTTATCTTGACCCTTGACTTCAAAGCCATAGTTCTCTGCTTTTACAAGTATTTATGCAAGTCTTGGGGGCATCTCTTCTTTAGCCAGCTCTTTCTGTTCCAAGCTCGTTCACCTGAGAATGCAAGCATGCCTTCTCACTTAGTATACTGGCACTTCGATGTGGTGACTTAGTTCTCCAACCCTCCACTTGCCTATAGGGCATCTCCACAGATAACCTAAGGAATATAGGCGTGTCTAAAATAGCTTTTCATGGTTTTCCCCAAAGTGTCCGAGTGTCACCATAACTTTCCTCTGCACATAACCGTGAAGGTTCCTAGCTCACCTGTCTTATCATTACTGAATCTTGCCGCTTCTGTTCTAATGCTTAGACGTCTCTGTTGCAGGCCTTGGTCCAGGCTCTAGTAGCGCGTGCATAAATAAATGACTGCAAGCCAGTCTCCCCTCTCCCTTTCAGGCATGCAGTGCAGTACTTTGTTCCTATTTTTCTTAGAAGCATATCGTTGTTACCATATGCCTTATTTTAAACATCCTTGTTTTCAAAACACTTCTACTTCCCACGTTTCTTCACCAGATTTTGTGGTGAAGGGTGTAGCCCTTTTATGTCAGCTAAGTATACACGCTTTTGTCCACCCAGGAGATGTGTTTCTGATCATGGCTGTCATTTCTCATTTCTGGAATGTTTTTGTCAAGCCACATATTATTTGTTTTTCAAAGCCGTTTCTCAACTGAACATTCTTTGCTTCATTACTCATGACCTACCACAGTAGCCCCCCAAATGCCCTGAATGTTTATAATGTGCATGTATTTTTAATGTGTATTTACTGTCTTGTTTCCTCTGTGAAGCTTCTCGTCAATCAAGCAAGAACTACTTGGTGCTCAGGCTGAATGTTTTCTGTTAGTTCTCTGGGGAAGCAACAAGAGAAAGAATACCAGGCCCTCACATCAAGGATTTCAGAAAAGTTCTGCATCAGGAAGTGGGACTGGAGGGTGTCACTAAAATACTGATTACAAACTGGGAATGATAGCCTGCCTATAACCCAGCATTTGTTAAATTGAAGCAAGAGGATCCTAAGCCAATCTAGGCTACAGAACAAAACCCGGCCTCAAAAAAACCAAAAACAAACAAAAACCCAAAAAACAAACAAACAAAAAAAAAAACCTGCCTTGACTCCTCATGCAAGTGATATAGAAAAGGCCCTTTGTGGTCAAGGAAGGAAAATTTATAATGCTGATAAAGAAATGAGCTATGATCCAGGAAAGGCTGACAAAAACCAAAACTTCATCCATATTTGACTATGGGAGACTAGATATACTAAAAACCTAGAAGACAAACTGGAATAATTGCCACTTAAGGAATAAACCATTCTTCACCACTTCACCCCTGGGAGAAGCATCATTAGGGAGCCCAGATTGGCCTTCAATTGTCATTTTGCTTCAGCCTACCAAGCCAGTGTTACAGGTCTGTGCCACCACACCTAGCTGGACAAGCCCTTCCTAAAGCAGTCTAAGGCTCATCAGAAAAATGGGTGCACTCTGCATCCCACAGGACCTGCTTGGATGAAATGAAGCTATTTATGATATTGTCTTATTCGTTATCAAATGCTATCTAATATGAAGCATTACTGTTACTAATATGTTAAAGCATAGTGCTATGAGTTAAGACTGTCAACGGGGTTGGAATATAAACAGAACCAGGTTTTGTATCAGAAATAAGAACATTCTAATTAGCTCAAGCTGAGCTTCCTCTGCAGCTTCTCTAACTAGCAATCAGATTTACAGACACTAACCAGTGTATATCAGGGCATTCCAAAAGGAGGGTGCAAACTTAACAGTAGAAACATGCTCACAAAAAACAGCTCTTAGTTCCAGCTTACAAGTCTCCATGTTTTGACAAATTTCTATAGCCCACAAGACATCAACAGTACTGATTTGTGGTGTCTATTTCTAGAACTAATACTATAAAATTCTCTTACCCAATCACAATCCAGCTTCCTGCCAGCTTTTGTTCCCTTCCCCCACCCCCATCCCTTCAAACCCATGATTTGGTCATAAACTTCCTACCCAGAATCTCGTCAAGTGAGATCTAAAACTTACTATTGCCTAGTTGTGCCGCTGTGCACACTGATGAGGATAGACTGCTGGTTTGTAAGTCTGTGAGAGAAGCTGCTTCAGTTTTTCCTTGGAAGAATGGAATCTTGATATTACTATCTGAGTAGCTGTGAAGCCAGGAAGTTTCAGCCCACAGAGGCCGTGGACAGTGCTACAGTTTGAATTTCCTCCTACTGCCAACACGAAGACACTGCTACATTGTCCTTGATATGGAAGTTCCACGTCTGTGTTTGGCACTGCTTTAGCTAAGTGTTTTGTCCTTGGAAATGTCCCTGGTTCCTAGCATGTGCTGAAGCTACAATCCCCAGGACTTCTTCCTGTGGCCGGCCATATACAGTATTGTCTGAAGTCAAGCCGTAGGGAACAACAAGGTCGCAGGAGAGACTGGATTCTTCTGCTACAGACTAGTTTTATTGATCTACTCCTTGCACGTCTTCAAGCTCTTTTCCCCCAGCAATGCCCCAAACAACCGAACACCTGCTGCAAGGGCTCCCAGACTGGCTTACCTCTGACAGGGCCCAGCACCCGATGGCTGACCTTTTGGGTGCTAGAGCCCAGGCCTGGCAGCCCTGCAGGCCGACTGCCATGAAAAGGAAAGCTGGGAGAGTTCTTCATCTGTGGAGAATTTTGTTGGCTGCTGCTGCTACCACCACCACTTGTGCCAGTGCTAAAACTTCGAGCCCGGCTCAAGGTGTTTTCAGAGCAGGAAATGGGCAATCCACTGCAAAGAAGCAGATACCAGTTACCCTGCACCTGGGAAGAAGTGTCCTAAGGCTTCCTTAGGATGTAGCAATTAAAATTCACTTCCGGAGTTGAAGGGCATAAAAATCCATTGCCAGGAAGAAAGGAGGGAATGCATATCCATGGATGGAGCATCTAACTTGGGGCATACCCCCTAATCTTGGTGGTCATCCAAAGTAGCCATGGTGCTGGCTCTAGAACCCTCTTCACTTAAGTCATTTACCTTTGGGATCAGACCTGCCACACTCTGGCCACACTGCTCTGGATCTAGGAGTCCCTTGGCCTGATTTTCAGCTCCCTTAGATACAGCTCTAGGTGAAAGGGACTAGGCTCCCATTCTCAAAAACTGAAGTAATCTCATCAGTTTTCTTTTTCTTTCCTTTTTTCTTGGTTTTGTGAGACAGGGTTTCTCTGTAGCTTTGGAGCCTGTCTTGGCTGGCACTAGCTCTTGTAGACCAGGCTGGCCTTGAACTCATAGAGATCCACCTGCCTCTGCCTCCTGAGTGCTAGTATTAAAGGTGTGTGCCCCCACCGCCCGGCCCCCCAGTCTTCATTTACCCAGAACACAGCACCCCTCTAGAGTTTGCCAACCTTCCTGCACTCGCCATGCTGCTGGTCTTACTTGTTACTTTTGGGCGGAGTTCGAGCTCCTCTCTTCTTGCTCATGCCCACACTCACGCTCACAGTGCTGGTCAGACCTCTGCTGTTGCGCACGTGCTTTAGCATCCAGGCCCGCAGGTTAGTGAGGCTGTTGTGTTCTGACAGCACAATTCGGGGCCAGGGGTTACATTCTGCCATATCCAGAGCTGCGATGGCCATAGCTCGTCCCACCTGTGGGGAGTTGTATGGTTTAGTATCTTTGTCCTCTTAATCTAGCTGCTGTTTGGGGGAGCGGTACACAGCACAACAGGCAAGAGGAAGCTAGACGTAACAGTGGGTACCCTGAATTTTGTGCCCAGGTTCTTTATCTCAAGTCTGTTTACAGCTTGCTTTTCTGAGCAGGGACTGGTGTGCTTTTGGTTGACACTATGAGTTTGTATCTTTTACAACCTCAAGTTTTATTTCTCTTACATGCCTAGAAACAGACATACCAAGACTATAATAATGGGTGCTTTTGAGACTAGGAGTGAATGAATCCATGAGGAGTATCAGCTCAGGCCAGGCGATTTAGTTAGCTGTCCCAGGGTAATGTCTGGGTTGGGGGTCAGAAATCATGCCTATGTTTTTGCCATTACCATGACAGTTAACTGAAGAAAATCACACAACTTTGCAGAGCATCAACTGTTCCCACTTCCCCACTTAGTCTATGGATTCATACCTGCTCAAATAGTTCCACAGTGTATCTGGAGGGGAAAGCTGGCGGCGGAGGGGGGCTGGCACGCCCATTGTCATGGCAGGCAGCAGGGATGCTGTTTACTGAGCGTCCAGTGTTGTAGTTGCATTCAAGTGTGTAGCTAAGACACAGAGACCTTTGTGAGTGTCCTGTCTGAACAGGTGCTGGGACAGAACAGTGAGGGGCAGTGAGATGGCTTAAGAAGGTGATCACTTGGAAACAAGTAGACCAAGAGAAAGTGCTAATAATTCCCAACTAACTACTGACCGCGTGCCCAGGAAGTCCTCCAAAAATAAGACTCCGTGATTAATGCCAACTGTGCTAATTGAGACTCTCTTTTTAAGACTTGGGTGGTTCCAGCCCCTCAAACACCTAGGAATAAGTATTTTTTTTCTTTAAATAAGTTATTTTCTCAACTATGCCAGTTTCCTCCCAACCTGTGTATTATTCCTGAGGCTTTGTAGATTGCAACACGACCGCTTCCCTCTTTGGACTGGCCATCTCTACGGTCTCGGGCATACATGTTCTTTTCTGAGAAATTGCAGCCCTGGAAGTCAAAGTGGGCTGAATTCAAGGAGATGAGCTTTGGATATAGCATGTTTTCCACCTGTTTGAGGGAAGAAAAAACAACTCAGAAGACAATACAGAAAAAAGGGATAGGGGCAAGAAAAATAAGGCAGACAGTCATGTGACTATGTAGCATATACCATTATAGCCATCAGCAGTAATCAGTGTTTCTTGAAAGTCTCACTGCTGAACATTATTTCTTTTAAGCTCTTAGATTTCCCGTCACATTTTCCTGCTCTGGTTCTCAAGCTCTATAGAACTGGGGTGCCGGTAGCTTGCTCTTCACTCAGTGGCTAAGCTGTAAGGTGCTAGTGCCACCTCTTTGTCCTTTGAAGCTTGTGCAGAGGGAGTGTGCACAGGCCTTCCTGCTTGCTTCTCCAGAAGACCACCTTCCCACCTTGCCTGTAACCTAACCCTCAGCTCCCGACTGCTACACAGTACCTAGAGTCCTACCTGGGTGCTCTCATCACTAAAGCTGTTTCCATACATGAAGCAGCCCCTTTTGGAAGCATGTCCATGCAAGTCCACATAGTAAGCAACACCACTCTCTTTTGGGGGGATGGTGTCAGGGGCTGGCTCTTCCAGTTCAGGAGACTGTTGTGGTGGGACCCACACAGTGTCAGTCTTCTCTTCTGCTGCTGGCTCTGTCTCAGCCCAGGTCTCAGGGCTTTCCCCATCAGGTGGCTGTCCAAGGTGAGCTTCATTGTGGAGGTTGTTGACTTTCTCAAGGTCAGAAAGAGGAGTCTCAGGCGGCGGGAGATGGAGACTGGGCTGCGGGGCACAGGGCCTCTTGGCGTTGAGCCGGGAGTGCACGTGATGGTAGAGGAGCACAGCTTTCGCGCCATAGATGGCTGGGTGCAGGATGGCGTCAGGCTTCAGGTACTGACGGTTGAGATTCACTCCACGGGAGTCTGTGCTGTAGGAAGACAGGACTGAACAGGGTCTAGGTGTCTGGGCCAGCAAGAGACACTAGAGTAGGTGACAAGGAGGCTGGAAGACTTGTGAGTGCACGGCTTAAATTATGCTGGGAAAGAAAGGAGGACATGACCCTTCCTTGACTTGTTGTCCCCCTACTATAGAAATCCAAGGACAGTTTCCTCTACCCAAGTAGTCTTCACCGAGCCTACTTTTGCTTCAGCCCAGGAGTGTATGTAGATGCCATCCCTTCTCAGCTCACTGGAACATTAAAAGGACTCGTCCTTGTTAGGGTACAAGAGGACTAGAAATACAGACAAGTCAGAAGGCTGTCTATCTGTCACAGAGACGTGGGACATCAGAGAAACTGAGGAAATCCAAAAAGGTTTAGGCTACTTACCGGTAGTGGCCCCGAACCACACCATCAGGGTTTAACATAGGAATCAACTTAAAGACAAAGAGTCGGCGTAGGGTTTGCGCCCGGGGGTCATCAGGTCGAAGGATGAAGTCCAAAAAGCCATTGAAGACAAAGCTAGACGGAGTCTCCCCAGGGTGTACCCTGCTGCTTAAGAAGAATATCTGAGGTGGAGAAGAAAGCAGAGGAAGGTCAGTAGTGCTGTAGTTCCACTCTGACGTGTGTGGGTAGGAGTGGCTGCCTGCCAGAGGTACTGCACTGCAGCCCTCTGCCCTGGGCTACAAGCTAAGCTGGGTCCAGAATGCGTAGAGGTAAAGCTTTAAATTATCCACAGTGGCTGGAGCTAAAATAAAGCGAGAGTACTGTTTTGTTTTATTTATGTGTATGTCTGTGTGTCTGTCTACAAGTGCCTGTGAAGTGTGGAAGTTGTTACACCTCCTGGAGCAGGAGTTAAAGGCAACCACAGACAGCGTGGGTGATGGGAACCAAACAAGGATCCTGTGTAAGAGTATCAGGTGCTCTTAAACACTGAGCCGTCTTCTCCACCCAAGAGGACTGGTCCTATGTTCTCCCCACTCACCCTTTTGCCTGTGAAACGGAAGGGTCGGGGAGTGCTAAGATCAGGGAATAGCTGCTCTAGACGGGGCTCCCGATCTTCTCGAAGCCCATGGCAGGAAGTGACTGTTAGTAGATCTACCCGAAGTCCATCCAGAGAATAGCAGAGAAGCTCCCGGTGGTAATAAATGCTATCCAGAGGACTATGGGGGATAAAATCATTAGTCATAAGTCCCTGAGGTCCTGGAAAGAGCAGCGTCACCAGCTCAGGACCTGTGTTATTTGGTCCCTCCCCATAACCTTTGGGACCTCTTAGTCCTGTCAACTGGTGAGTCTAAGGATGTTTGTGGGCCTGTACTGCCAGATGCAGAATACAGGACTGAAATGGGAGTGCGTGCGTGCACACGAGCCTGTTGGAGTAGTTTGCAGACATTGGTTCTCTCCTATCATGTCAGTTCTGGGGACGAATTCCTATCATCAGGCTTGGCAGCAAACACCCTTCTTTACTTACTGAGCCATCTTGCTGTCGTTCCTCCACCCCTTTTATTTAGGGTGAACTTTCTGTTTGATTTCCTAGTCTGTGGGGCTTTAGGATAGATTTGCGTATACAGAGTTGTCATTGGAGGCAGATGAAGAAGACGTGCTGGGCAGCCACAGTACTGGCCAAATTCTAGATAACTCGTGAGAACTGAACAGGACATGAACTGGGCACGTGAGAGAAGGAGTGTAGGTGGTGGTAAGCTGATCGTGGTTATAAAGGAACACCTTTTTCAAAATGCCACATTCACACAGGGAAAAGACTGATGAAGTTCTGGTTAAGAGCTCTTAGGACAAATGCCAGAAGCAGTAGAGGTACTACAGGATCTAAGGCAGTGTGGCAGGGGTAAGGGTTGGTTAGTACCTGCTATGGGTAGAGTGAGTCTCTGGAAAGCGCTGGTCTAGCTGGCTTAGCAAATCCTGGCAGTCGCTGTAGGAGAAGGGGTAGCAGAAGGCGAAGAAGGTGGTGGCTCCCCGGCCCTCTACGAAACGGTGAACAAAGGATAGCACAAACTGTGTCTCTGTCATCTGGGGAGAAGAGGAGGGGAATGGTCATCTGTCAGAACTGAGCTCCTCCTGTTAGGAACACCTTTACCAACTCCCCTCCCTCTGATACTTTCCATATGAAAGCCAGCTTCTTCAGGCTTGCTGAAGTAGGGGCTCATCCTGGACCCCAACTAGGGGTGGAAGAAAGAAGATACTAAACTCAGGGGTGCTGCCTGCCTTGTACGCTCTCTCAGGAACTTGTTTCCTGTACTAGCACTTGGTCTTTCCCCCTAACGAAGAACTTACCTCAAAGGTGGGCCGGTCTCTAATGCGTTCCCAGCGTGGCCGGGAAGGCAGCGTGCGCACAAAGGGGGCCATGCCCTGAGAATACAGCTTGCTTTGCTTGTTCATGTTCATAATGTTGATCTTGATAAGTTTCCCTGGAGTTCCTCCCCGGACACTGAAGTAGAACCATGACCTGAGAACCAAGAGAGACCAGCTGTCGGACGTGGGAGGGCTAGAGAGAGAATGTGTGGGAAATGGGGGTCAAGTCAAAACTGCAGAGAGGATGGGAGGGGTTGGAAACGAGACACTGTACGGTCTGTAAGTCAAAGGACTGACCACACTCTGCATCCGGGCACTTGGACATTCCCGCCCACCCTCTCACTTCTCATACCTGTTCCCGTTCTCAAATTCTGTTTCAGCACAGTCCGGCCGGGTCCACACGTTGAACTCGTAGTCAGGGGAAGCAATGCTACTAGTGGGGGCTGAAGCCCCCCCTCCTACTACTTCCCCATCGCTAGAAACCGTTTCCACCTTTTCCACATGGGCTAGGTTCCCTGAATCAAAGCGAGAACTGAACAGCAATCCCCCACAGCGCAGCTCCATGGTGGGGCTGGGAAAGCATCCTCTTGCCCCACACAGGCCCTGAGAGCTGGGGGAAAAACGAAAGGGTTTATAGGCAGGCGGGAGAGAAAAATGCAACAATGTTTTTGGGTATCTTTGGAGAAATGAGAAATGCTTTTAGTATTCTATGAAGCAAAATACTTCCTTTCTTAGAAAACATGGAAGTAGCCTTCCAGCAAGATCAAGAGAAAACAGAACTCTGTCCCTGGACACCCAAGGGTTATGAGTAACCTGAAAGACCCCATTTAACTACACGCAGCTGCTGCCAAATCAAATGCTCTATGGCTTCTTGGCTGAGTTGGCAAACTCTAGACTCTCATGCTTCTCAGAAACCTAAAGAGCAGAGACTGGACGTCAGATGGCTGCCACCTACTCTATGAGGGAGGGGCCATTTTAACATTTCCTAGATTGGCTTTGTACTGTGCGGCCCAGAGCAGAAAGAACCAAATTTCTAAGTGTAAATGGTGGCTTCCTTTCTTTACCCCTTTGTCTTCACAAGCACTGACTAGAATCATGCTGTTGTTTCTACGAGACCTTGAAGAGCCGTTTCTGTTGTTGCCACCCCCTTTCTATACTATACCTATTATGAAAACTAGAAAAACATGGCCTGTGCCTGGCCAAAGCCACTTGCTCACCTGCCCTGAACCTCAGTTCCAATTAGGGTCTGTTTCCATCCTCCCGCCCTGTAGACACTGGAGCCTGTGCAAAAGCTACTCTCGAAGATGTGGGTAACGGGTGTCCTAAGCACCCCTAGGAAGGCTGGGCCAGTAGAATCGCGCTTGGAAGCAGCAAGCAGCTCCTTGATTCGCGAGGACCCTCGCACTGACTGGCTGGTCCAGGGCAGGGAAGGGTTTGGAGGCGTGGGAGGGGTCGAGACAGAGACTCTGGAGGATGGGAAGGCTGGTCCTAGGGGTCAGAGGTGAGGCCACGGGCTCGGAGGTGGTCAGCCAGAGGCGGGGTCGGCCGACCGCGCCAGGCCGGGGGGCGGGGTGGCATTCGACAGGGGCTCGGGCGGAGCGGGCTGAAGAAGGGGGCGGGGCCGGCCGCGGGGCCGCAGTCCGCGCAGAGCCCCTCACCTCTCTCCGGGCCGCTGCTCCCGCTCCCTGTCCCGCTAGCGAGGCGGCACCTCGGGCCCCGGCACCCGGGCCCTCCACCCAGGACCCACACAAAACCAGAGAGCCGCGGTGCCGGGACCCCGCTCTGCCAGGAAACAAGAAGTCTCTTGCCTATTGGCCGCAGTCGCAGCTGGCTACCCGCCCAGTAAAGCGTGCTGCCATTGGCCGGCGCGCAGGGTTCCGTGCACGTTGGCAGGTACCTGTGAGGGGGCCGTTTGGGGGCTTCCCGCGGGCCAGCGCCGTCCGCCGCTCAGGCAGCGTCTTCTCTGGAGGCGGTTAACGGCCCGCCACCCCGAGGCGGGAAAGACAAAGCCGGGGCGCGGGCAAGAGGAAAAGACTCACCTGCGGACAAGAAGACGCCGTGTGAAGCGGATCCTTGCTTACCGTGCCCTTATCTCTACTGTCTAGCAAAAGGCCAACAACAAGTTGTCCAGGAACCTGCCAGTGTTGGCCATAGCATGGCTGCGGATCGCAAAAAGGGAAGTGGAGGATGCGGGCATCGATCCCGCTACCTCTCGCATGCTAAGCGAGCGCTCTACCATTTGAGCTAATCCCCCAACTGCTGGTCCTTGCCTTCCTATTGCCTTTACAAGGTTTCCCGGAGGCCAATTGAACGGAAAATTTCTAACAGAGTATAAAGTACGTTGGAACTCTCGGCAAGGTTTTGAAACTGAGCCATGTAACAAACACATAAGCAATAAGGACTTTTTTTTGCAGTAATCATCTTTACACCCATTGCTCGAACAAAATGCATTGTACTTCGACTACTAAACTGCCTACGTGCCGCACCCCAGGTCAACAGTCGTCAAGCAAATACATTGCCTATAACCAAATTATAGCTTTTACCCCGCGAGTAATTGAGATTGGATGAAGTTCTAAAAACAATGTACGAAGTCCTTCGAGCCGGAATCGAACCAGCGACCTAAGGATTGCTAGGGCTCATCCACTACAGTCCTCCGCTCTACCAACTGAGCTATCGAAGGCTCCGCTGCTCCCGGAACTTGCCATTTTCCTTCTAATGCTTACCGGGAATTTTTCTGAGTTCTGGCCTGTTTCTCAGCAGTCTTGGGGGAGCTGGAGCCGGAAGGAAAGACGAAAGAGCAGGCTCGCCGGGTTTGCACCGTGCAGCGGGAGCGAGCGTGCTGCGAGCCGGCTCAGGGCCGAGCTGAGCTGGCGTTCCTCCCGCTGTGCAGACACCACTCCTGATGTTTGGGGGACTGCGAATCGTGTTCGCTGCTTCAGATCCAGGTTTCATTTGTTTTTTGGCGCGGTGCAAGTAAAAAGCATGCTCCTGCTGGTGCGAAAGACACTCACTCAGGCCCTCGCCAGAAGGAAACGCCGAGCCGCGGGAGATGAGCGATCCCTGAGTCTCAGACCCTAGGATATGGCGGGGGACGCGGATTCCTGATCCCGAGTACCCTGGGCCGGCTGGGTGCAGTCTCCCAAACTGCCCAATCTGCAGTGCCCAGCGCTTGTTAAACAAGTTCACTGGTTTTCGAGGTCTGGGAAGGGTTTCCGCCCCACCTGGACTCTTTCCCCGTCATTTGGTAATCAAGCGTCTCCTCTGGATGGGTCGACCTTGCGTCTACCCCGACCCTGCTCCTTATGTGAGCTCAAGTTTTTGTTGCTCTTCCTCACAGGGCCAGGCCACTGTTGGCTCACTGAAAGCTACGAGATTTTTTATTTATTTATTTTTATTTTTTTAAGGAACAGATTCAACCCCCTGGTCCTCCGCGCAGCCGACTCTGTCTGGCGGAGTGGGTGTGTCCAGAGACCTAGCCTCCGGTTCCAGTTCTGAAACGTCCGGCTAGGTGGAATGATAATTTGAAATCTTGTTTGATTTCATTCTGCTGGGGGTGGGGGAATGCTGCCATCGTGCCTGGACCTCAGCTGTGGAGAGTTTTCGGGGCACACGTTTAACATTTTTAAGTAATTCATATTTCTCTTTCCTCCTCCATTATTCCTGTCCCCATTATTCCCGCCCCCTCTCTTTCCTCCCTGGCTATATTTAATTCAGACGCCTTTAAAATGTGAGATTCACAAAACATACTTATCTATTTGTTTCTCAAACCTACAGCACAAAGTATTCCCAAAGGGGTCTTCTACGCGAGTGCTAACCAGGCCCAACACTGCTTAGATTAGAGTGGTTTAAGGACTTTTAGGGCAACGACGACGCTGTCTGTACAAAAATGTACGCTCTACTGGAGGTTTGTTTTTTGGTGTTTTTGTTTTGTTCCGTGTGTGTGTGTGTGTGTGTGTGTGTGTGTGTGTGTGTGTGTGTGTGTGTGTGTGTGTTGAGTCCGGGGTCTATCGAACTCGAAGAGCTTCGCATGCCTCTGTATGCAGAATGCTGAGATAAAAGCGTGCAACACCACACCCGCCTCTGTTCATTTCCTTGTATCATGTTAATGCAGTTTTTTTAAAATCTTACTCCTACCTTTTGGGGTCGGGGTATTTTAAATAACTGGAAATTAAACGCAGGCGATTCCAGCATTCTCTGGAACACCCTCCCGGTACTATTCTGTGGTTTCTGTTTTATTATTTTTGCGTCTTCGTACTTTTTACATATATTTCTGATCCCCATGTCCCTTCCCTGGCAAGTGGTATTTTTGTCGAAGCTGGTCCCGAGACCTGCAATCTGGGCATAACACCTCCGTGCCCAACGTGCACATCCTTAGAAATCTTTGCCCATATTTCTACTTACTCGTCTAGAAAACCTTTAGGAGCGTACTTGTTTGGCCAGACAATGTGAGACTTTTCTACCTTTTGATAAAAGTTGCCAAGTATATTCCTGGAATATACAAAATTCTATTATGGTATTCACTGGTTTAAGTATTAAAGAATCCTTCAGCGCCATTAAGATGGCTTAGCAGTAAAGACATTTTCTGCCAAGCCAGAGGGACCAGAGTTTGATTCCCTGGACCCTCATGGAGGACGAGAGAACCAACTCTTCCTAGTTGTCCTTTGACCTCCACGTGAATACCAGGACATGCTCAAGAACAGACCTGCCGCAGAGCCAGGCCATCTCAGCAGCAATGGCGGTCAGGTCACCAGGCCCTGGGAGAGGCTGTGGCAACAGCAGTTCCCTCACCACATAATAATCAAAACACTAGACATACAGAATAAAGAAAAATGCTAAGAGCTGCAAAGGAAAGAGGTCACACAATGTATAAAGGCAGCCCTATCAGAATTACACCAAACTTCTCAAGGGAAACAATGAAAGCCAGAAGGTCCTGAACAGGCATCATGTAGACACATAAGAGACCACCGACGCCAGCCCAGACTACTTATCCAGCAAAAGTTTCAATCAATATAGATGGAGAAAACAAGATATTCCATGACAAAATCAGATTAAATCAATACCTATCCACAAATCCAGCCCTATAGAAAGTACTAGAAGGAAAACTCAAACCCAAAACGACATCCACAAAAACACAGGAAATAGATATTCCCACACCAGCAAATCCCAAAGAAGAGAAATGCACACACAATAACACCAGTACCAAAAAAGTGACATGAGCAAACAATCGCTGGTCATTGATAACCCTTAATATCAATGGACTCTATTCACCCATAAAAAGACACAGGCTAACAGACTGGATATGAAAACAGAATCCATTCTGCTGCTGCATACACAAAACACACCTCAACTACAAAGAAGACATTACCTCAGGGTAAAGGATAGGGGAAAGATTTTCCAATCAAATGGACTTAAGAAACAAGCTGGTGTAGCTATTCTAATAGTTAACAAAATCGACTTCAATCTAAAATTAGCCAGAAGAAATGTAGAAGGTCATTTCATATTCATCACAGGAAAAATCCATCAAGATGAAGTCTCAATAACGAACATCTATGTCCCCAATACAAGGGCACCCTCATTCATAAAAGAAACATTACTAAAGCTCATAGCACACATCAAGCCCCATATATTTAACAGTGGGAGACTTCAACACCCCACTCACACCACTGGGCAGGTCTGCCTCACAGAAACAACAGAGAAATGAGGAAACTAACGGATATCGTGACTCAAATGGACTTAGCAGACATCTATAGGACATTTCACCCAAACACAAAAGAATATACCTTCTTCTCAGCACCTCATGGAACCTTCACCGAAATCGACCACATACTCAGTAACAGAGCAAATCTCAACAGATACAAAAAAATTGGAATAATCCTGTGTCTTATCGAATCATCATGACTTAAAGTTAGAATTCAATAACAAATACTAATTTCAGAAAGTCCACAAACACATGGAAACTGAACAATGCTCAAAATGAATTACCACTGGGTCAAGGAAGAAATAAAAGACTTCCTAAAATTCAATGAAAATGACCACACAATATACCCAAACTTATGGGACACAATGAAAGTAGTGTTAAGAGAAAAGTTCATAGCACTAAATGCCTACATAAAGAAGCTGGAAAAATCCCACACGAGTGAGTTAACAGAACACTTGAAAGCTACAGAACAAAAAGAAGCAGACTCACCCAGGAGGACTATATGACAGGAAATAATCAAATTGAGAGCTGAAATCAACAAAATAGAAACAAAGAGAACAATACAAAGAATCAATGAAACAAAGAGTTGGTTCTTCGAGAAAATCAACAAAATAGACAAACTTCTATCCAAACTAACCAAAAGGCAAACAGAATATCCAAATTAACAAAATCAGAAATGCAAAGGGCGACATAACAACAGACAAGGGGAAAATCCAGAGAATCATCAGGTCATACTTCAAAGACCTGTACTCCACAAAATTGGAAAACTTAAAGGAAGTAGACAATTTTCTGGATAAGTACCACATACCAAAATTAAATCAAGACCAAATAAGCAAATTAAATAGACCTATATCTGCTAAGGAAATAGAAACAGTCATCAAAAGTCTCCCAACGAAAAAATGCCTAGGGCCAGATGGTCTCAGTGCAGAATTTTATAAGAACTTTAAAGAACTAGTATCAATAATCCTCAAATTGTTCTACACAATGAAAACAGAAGAAACATTGCCAAACTCTTTTTATGAGACTACAATTACTCTGTTACCCAAACCACACAAAGACATTGCTAAGAAAGAGAATTACTGACCAATCTCCTTCAAGAAAATTGATGCAAAAATACTCAATAAAATACTGGCAAACTGAATCCAAGAACACATCAGAAAAATCATCCACCATGACCACGTAGGCTTCATCCCAGAGATGCAGGGATGGCACAACATATGAAAACCTATCAATGTAATCCACTATATAAACAAACTGAAATTAAAAAAACAAAACCACAACCAAAAGCTACAGAGAAACCCTGTCTCGAAAAATCAAAAAAAAAAAAAAAAAACAAACAAACAAGAAAAAAAAACACACACGACCATCTCATTAGATGCTGAAAAAGCCTTTGACAAAATTCAACACCCCTTCATGATAAAGATTTTGGAGATAGCAGGGAGGGATACAAGGTATATATCTAAATATAATAAAGGCAATATACAGCAAGTCAGCAGTCAACTTCAAACTAAATGGAGAGAAACTCAAAGCAATCCCATTGAAATCAGGAACAAGACAAGGCTGTCCACTCTCTCCATATCTATTCAACTTGAAGTTCTAGAGACAACAAAAGGAGATCAAGGGGACACGAATCGGAAAAGAAAAAGTTCAACTTTTACTATTTGCTGATGATATGACAGTATACATAAATGACCCCAAAATTCTACTAGGAAACTCCTACAACTGATAAACGCCTTCAGTAATGTAGGAGGATTGTCGCGTGGCCTCTTGTGCTATAAACGCTGACATAAAGCATTTGGGCACTCTCTCCCAACTTCGGGATTCACTTCCTGTTCCCCGTTCGTGGAGAGGACTGTGATCTGTGAGTCTACCCCTAAATAAATTACCCCTTATTATACTCAATTCTGAGTTAGTGTGGGATTATTTTATAGTGTCCATTTTCACATCATCCTTTATAATAGCCACAAATAACATAACTCTAACCAAACAAGTGAAGGACCTGTATGACAAAAACTTTAAATCTTTGAAGAAAGAAATTGAGGAAGACATCAGAAAATGGAAAGATGTTCCACGCTCTTGGATAGGTAGGATTAGTGTAGTAAGAATGGCAATCTTACCAAAACAATCTACAGATTCAATGCAATGCCCATGAAAATCCCAGAGAAATTCTACACAGACCTTGAAAGAACAACACTTGACTTCATATGGAAAAACAAACCCAGGATATCCCAAACAATCCTATACAATAAAGGAACTTCTGGAGGCATCACAATCCCCGACTTCAAACTATAGAGCTACAGAAATGAAAACAGCTTTTGGTATTGGCATAAAAACAGACAGAAGGATCAATGGAATCAAATCAAATACCCAGATATCAATCTATACACCCATGAACACTTGATTTTTGACAAAGAAGCTAAAATTATAAAATAGAAAAAAGAAAACATCTTCAACAAATGGTGCTGCATAACTGGATGTTGACATGTAGAAGAATGAAAATAGATCCGTATCTATCACCATGCACAAAACTCAAGTCCACATGGATCAAAGACCCCAACATAAAGCCAGCCACACTGAACCTCATAGAAGAGAAAGTGGGAAGTATATTTGAACTCATTGGCACAGGAGACCACTTCCTAAATATAACCCCAGTAGCACAGACACTGAGAGAAATAATTAATAAATGGGACCTCCTGAAACTGAAAAGCTTCTTTAAA